TGTGGTCGTAAAGGCCATTTAGCTAAATTCAATTTGCGGCCGTAAAGGCCATCTAGCTAAATTTTGCTATGATGCACAAAAACATAAGAATATTAATCTTTCTTGTGCATCTCATGTAGCTTCCTCATCACATATACATGCATATGCTTATCATGCACATCATAAACATGCAAATGTGTTTAAATATGATATTTGTGGACGTTTTGGCCATTTGGCAAAATTTTGCTATGATTTGAAAAAGACTTCACCTTTGCCAAATGATTTTATTAAGCCACAAAAGTTTAAATGTGATGTTTGTGGTAGATTTGGCCATTTGGCGAAGTTTTGTTATGATTTGAATAAATATTCAAACTTGCCAAATTTCTCAAGTAAACCACCTTTGTTTAATAATGTTTCTCATTTGCAAAATAATTTTAAAAGAAAATCTTTATTTGCAAATGATTCCCGTGCACGAGCTAATGGTCCACAAAAACAAATGGATCTCTTTCATTGCACAAATTGCAATCGGAAGGGTCATTTGAATGAATATTGTTTTGACCATGTTAGTGCACCATATATGCCTAAGAGGGTTCATAACCCTAAGGCTTTGAGCTTAAATGATAGGGGTCATGTCCCTAAATCTTTTGGTACCAAGAGTTCTTGGGTACCAAAACAAATTTAAATTTTAAACCAAGAATTTTAGTATTCTTATTTATCCTTCTTTATCTTGGTTTTGAAAATTATGCTTTGAAATCTTTCTATATGAAAACAATTTATAATTTATAAAATCTTTTGTTTTCATGATTAGTTGTTTTGTTTTGATGAGAGGACTATGTTTATATAACCCTCCGGAGTTATTGGGTGTTTATTCCCAAACATTGTTTACCGGGTGCTAAAAATGTTCATATGGGTTGATACTAGCTCAAGAGCTAGATATAGTTGCCTCTCTTGATTTTTGAATCAATGATGATTTGATTTTACATTTTTGGACTTAAATTTTGATTTATGAATTCTTTTGGTTGATTTGTTTTCATTTGAAAACTTTTTACATGATTCTCATGTTCCTCTTCTTTTGATTTCATAAATCTATTCTTTTATATGGTTTTTATATTTTTTTTTTTCTGTTAATGAGACACTATTTTCATATTGACATATTTATATGTGTTCTCATTATCTTCATGTATGTGAGTAAATTTTTAGCATATTCATGTATGCTTGCTCACATATGTTTTGCCATGATATTCATTTCATATATTCTATATGGCTTTTTGATAGGGGGAGCAATCCCTATACTTGTTTGATACTCACCCATGCTTATTGGTAGGGGGAGCTTTCGCTCTCTTAATTCTTTTGTCCCCTTTTTGATGTTGTCAAAGGGGGAGAAATATTGTGAGTATATCATTTCTTGCTTATATGCATGATATATTATTTCGTGCCTTATAATGTATTCCATATGTGGTTTGATCAAATCCCACAAAGAAAATTCATTTCATTGATCAAACATCGGTTTTGGATATAAATTTTGATTTATGAATTCTTTTGGTTGATTTGTTTTCATTTGAAAACTTTTTGCATGATTTTCATGTTTCTTTTCATTTGATTTCATAAATCTATTTTTATACATGATTTTTATGTTTATGTTTTGAGACACATTATTTAAATGGCATATTAATATGTGTCATCATTGTATTTTTGTATGTGAGTCTTGTTTAGCATGGTTATGCTTGCTCACATGTTTGCCTTGCACTTCATTTTATATATTCCATATGGCTTCTTGATAGGGGGAGAAATCCCTATATCTTTTTATGTTTGATACTCACCCGTGCTTATTGATAGGGGGAGCTTTCGCTCTCTTAATTCTTTTGTCCCCTTTTTGATGTTGTCAAAGGGGGAGAAATATTGTGAGTATATTCTTTCTTGTTTATATGCATGATATATTATACATTGTATATTCATTTCCTTCATGCATATATTCCTTTTTGTAAATTGTTTGTCATCATCAAAAAGGGGGAGATTGTTGGCCTTCTTGTTTTGATGATGATTTACAAACAATTTACTACTAATGTTGTTTGTCTAGTGTTTGTACATTCTTATGTATTGTAGACAAACAACGTAGTTGGAGGATGGATGGATTGCGCCATAACGACGATATCAAATGGAGGTTGGCGGAATTGTGGAGTGAAGCAACATACAATTCAAGTTAAAGATCAAGTTCAAGCTTCATCCGCAAAGTGTACCAAGTCAAGCTTATTGAAGATCAAGATCGGCTTGGGGAATCTAGTTTATGTTTTATATTATGTGTGTTAAGTACCTTAAGCTCAATATCATATACACACACGTATTTGGTTTCTATGTATATATATAGTTATATATATACATGCATGGTTTTGGGTTTTTATGTTTTGAACACTTTTGCAAAATAATGAGATTTCACAATTGGAAAATGCAAATTGGAAAATTCTTTTTGTAACATGTTCAAAATATCATTTGCAAATATTTCTCAAAGTTTCATCAAGTTTGGAATTGATTTGTTATGTTTAAAGGAATTTACAAATTCACGTTTTCGTTCGTGCACATGTTCGTGCATGTTTTACAAAACAGATGAGTTTTTATAAATGGGAAGTGATATTCAAGAAATTCTTTCTTTGCCATGTTTATCTACATGTTTAGAAACTTTCCTCAAAATTTTACTATTTTTGGAGTTGATTTACTGTGCCTAATTGATTTTACAAAATCGTGTATCACAGTAGATTTTTAGAAACTGTATTTCTATGTTCAAACATTTATTTCTCTCAACTGGGAAATGATTTTTCAGAAATTCTTTCTCTAACATGTTTTTATACATGTCTAGAACCTTCCCTTAAAATTTCATAATTTTTGGAGCTGTTTTACTATTTTAACCGATTTTATAAAATCGGATATACCTGCTACAGTACCGCCGGTCGACCGAAATTTTCCGTCGGTCGACCGACGAACTCTCTGGATGTCTCCTGAGTTTCTGACCTTGTTCGCGGTCGACCGCGATTTTTATCGGTCAACCGCTGGAGTCCCAACGGCTCTTTTTAGAGCCGTTGCAGATGGTTTTTTGGTCTTTTTGTAAGGGGTTTTGGTCTGAGGTTTTGGAGGCTATAAAAACCCTCTTTGATCTCTGTTTTTAGTAAGCCAAGAAGTTTTTAAACAAGGGTTTTTAAAAAGAGTTTAAGCTTGTTTAAGCTTGTTTAAGGGTTTGGTTTAAAGCAGTTTTATCTTTCATAAGTGGAGGAGATTATCTTATTGTTTGGGCCTCAAATCTCCATCTCTAAATCTTGATCTAGAAAAGTTTTCCTAAACTCAACTCTAGCTTTTACTTATAATTATTTGTTAATTATCATTTCTATTAAAGCTAGTTTTATATTGAGTTTAGATTTGATTAATCTCATTGTTACACACTAGCTAGAAAGCCGAGTGTGAGGTGTAAACGTTGTTCGGGTGAACGTAGAAAACCCGGTTGAGTTAGTGGATTTCTCCCCGGGAGTGGGGAGCGGAGACGTAGGACGGAAGGTCCGAACTCCGTGATCATATCTTGTGTTTGAGTGTGCTTTGGCGTTTATTTATACTTGTGTTTATATTTCTTGTCGCCATAGTCATTAGCTCATTATTTATATGATCCACTATCTAGTTCATATTGTTTATCCTTGTGTTAGTTTCATATCCTTGCATATATCACATTGCCTATATCTCTTTGTTAGGATATATCTTATTGTTTATATCGCTTATCCTAGCTCATATTCATTGTTGTATTTCATACTTGCTAGGATAGCTTGTTAATTAATTTTAATTGGCATTTAATCGGATTAGATTAGCATAAGACCCTAATCACCCCCCCTCTATGGTCTAACACAATGAACGTGATGATGTGGGGTCCACTGTTGATTTTGAGGTTGTAGGTGAGCGGAGTGTGGATATGGTGAATTGCTGGCGAAGTTATGAAATAACAATCAAATGCACGGGACTAGCAGTCCCGTGCATTTCAATTCTTGGCTGAACTACACAGAACTAGCAGTCCCGTGTAGTTCGAAAATGAACTCCGCTGCAAAACCGACCCTTTTCTTTTGAAAAGGGTCGGTTTTGCAAATTAAAAAATGAAGAGGTCGATTTTGCTATATAAAAATGAAAAATGGGTGCTTTTAAAAATTTGTCCCTTTTTGACCTGTTGGCCAAAAAAGGTCTATTTTGCTAAATATTTAGCAAAACGGTCTGTTTTGCTAAATATTTAGCAAAATAGGTCTATTTTGCAAATTTCTTTCTAATTGTGTGTGCAACGAAATTGAAATCGCGCCCTTTGATTTAATGTTGCAGAATGGAGTGGTAATTCATCAAGCATCCAAACTTGGAAGGTAAACATGAAAACAAATCCATAAATAAAATGGGGGGAAATTTTGGAAAAAGGAAGATTAACAGAATAACAGGCCCAGCCCAATCCAAACCCCTCCTTCCCTAGAACCCCCAGTTTCATCCTCCTCCCCAAAACCTCCGCTCCCCCAAACGAAACCAAACCCTAAAAAAAAAAATGTCGTCAATCCGCCCCATAATCTCCCTCACAAAGCCTGCCACTTCATCGCCGGCCTCTACTGCAACGGCCTCAGCACCAAGCAGCTCCAGAACCTCCGAGCATCCCTCCCTCCCTCCGCCAAGCTCGTCGTCGCCAAGAACTCCCTGGTGGAGCAAGCCCTGAAGGGCACCAAGTGGGAAACCCTAACCGTCTGCGCCACCGGCATGAACGCCTGGCTCTTCGTCCACGACGACGACGGCATCCCCGCGGCGCTGAGGCCCTGCAGGGAGTTCCAGAAGAAGGAGGGGGTGGGGTTCAACGATTTCCGAGGGGCGGTTTTCGAGGGGAGGGTTTATGGGCCCGAGGAGTTCGGGGAGCTGGAGACGATGCCGACTGAGGGATGAGAGCTATAGGTACTTGCTTCGGGTTGCCTGGAGCACGGCCGGCCCTGGTTGCGGTTGGGGATCTTGCCAGGAGAAGGACCGGGAGGCTCCGCGAAGCAGCCGGCGGCGGCCGGAGAGAGCGGGGGGGTGCTGCGGGTGCAAATTGATCTGGGTGAGTATGCATTGGTGCGCGGGTAATTGCTCTAGAAATTTGTTCATTTGTGACAAGTTTGATCAGTAGCAAAGAATTGCTAGTTATGTGATATGTATGAATGTGTTTTACTTTGGAAGTGAAGCGTTTAGAATGATTTTGATCTGCAATTTGGGAGTAAAGGTGAGATAGCTAGGGGCGATTATGACAGTGTTGATCGGCAATAGTGGGTTAGA